CCGGGTGCTCTGTAGATTCCGTTGACCTTTATTTATCTCTTCTCCTTCTACCTACGTAAATTTAGCTCTTCATTTTCTCGAGTTAGTCGTTGTTATGCTTTAAACCGTTCATATCAATGTCGTATTCTTCATCTTCAGCAATAATTACCGCTCGCCTTTCCTTCATTTCAGATCTCTATCCTTACTCTTCCTTTACGCTATAGTTCTTTCTGTATATTGTGGGCACTTCGAATAGTTAACAAGCGACACTTCTAAGCGATCCTTAGTAAATCGCTCTATATATGTATCCTTACTCATATCTGTTTATACTGGGTGACTCAAAAAAACGGGAACTTTTAACAATCCAATAAAAACAAGAGTGATGAAAGAAAAATGTTTTATTCATAGTAATTGAAACCTTAATACATGCCATTTAAGAAACAATGATGGAATTTTCCTTTTTTTAAAAATTACGTTCTGTAAAGAAGAAAATCTAAAGAAAGACAAAGAAAGAAAACGAACAACAATTTTTAAAAAAAGAAAAAGAAAACGAAAGAAAGAAAGAAAGAAAGAAAGAAAGAAAGAAAGAAAGAAAGAAAAATCTTCTTCTTGAAATCTGCTGTTGAGATTCCTCATCGACTGCTGCAACATCTCTGCTGGGATACTGTGAATTTCATCTTGAATTCTAAACGGCGAAATGTTTATTTGCTCAAGGTCATTGTCTCGCAGTGTTGCCATTTGCGCATGTCTGTCAATAAGCACTTCAAAAATTCCCGGTTTTTTGGGGTCACCCTATACCTTTATCTTTACATCCTTTAATTTTAGCCTACTCATTGTTATCCTTTATATAATAAATATCCTTATCTCAAGTGTATTATTACTTTCCTTAATATATATATCTGTAGTGACGGAGAGAATCACGGAGTCCGCCGTGATTTACATGCGATTAGCCGAAGGATCAACGAAAAGTATATTTATTACTATATAATATACAATAATTTTGGTACATGGCCTAAAGGGGAAGAGGGAAGGGGATGCTCTTCGCTAATTATCCTAGTCCTAGTTAATTACGACCAGGATCCATTCATCCAATACAAATTATCCATTGACCACAAGAACTCATCCATCACCATTGAATCCTTCATATACCACAATACCACATATTCGCAAGGGGAACCTGAAAAAAAAACACCCTATGATATAAAAATTTCAAAATGTTTAAATCCAAAAATATATAGAAATTTCAGGAAACATGAAATGAGGAGGAGGGAATGAAACCCGTAAATTAACCAAAATTTAAAACAAAAAGACCCGTCCTACCATCAAAATTATATTTATTACTGTATATAATATACAACAATCTTGTCACATGGCCGAAAGGAGAAGAGGGGGAGAGACTGGTCTTCGTTAAGTATCCTATTCCTAGTTAATCACGATCATGACCCATTCATCCAATGCAATTGCTTCATTTACCACAAGAACTCGTTCATCACCATTCAATCCTACATATACCACAATATGGCCCGCGAGCTCTACTTTGCCCACCCCTGATCTAAAAACTCACACTTAGTAAAAGAGAAAATAACTTACTTAGACGGAAGTAATGGTGCTGCTATCGACTCTTACCGAAATGTAAATCTACGCAACGAAGTTTTTCAAATACCTCTTATTCTAAAACACATACTTCTTTCCCTAACAACATACGTAATTATTTTTTAATTATTTTTTAACTTAAGAGAAAACGGTAAAATTCAAAACTTCCTATTATTTAAAATCTATAATAAATAAATTAATTTTTTAAAGTAAAATAATATAAATAATAATTACATAAATATAAAAAAAAAACCAAAAAACAAAACCTTTACTCACTTTCGTTTATAGAAATTAAATTACATCACTTAACATACTTAATAATTTCCCTTCACTTTCAGTCAGGCTGATATATATTCATGAGCCTTCTTGCATATAAAACTTGAAAAAAAAATAACCACATTTTTACTTCTGATTATTAATAATTGTTGCAAAATAAAATCGTTTCATTTGTCTTGTTAAAATCCCTCAGACGACGAAGTGTGTCGGCTAAGATGCGTTTTCCTTTTGTCTTTCTTCATATTATCATTTTACAGATATAGAAGTTTCATATGGATTTTTACACACGCGCAAACTCACACACTATACACACACGCACACATCTTTATAGAAAGAGAAGGGATTTCCATAAATTCTCTTTACGAATTAAAAAAAAATATTTCAAAGACAAATGAACAGGCAAATATGTGGTAATTGTTACAACATGAGGAGTCGATATTGAAGATTTTTTTAACTAAATTAATATACCTCTTTCTGGGCACCATCAGTTGCACGAAGCACATAAAGACCGTACTCGATTTATAAGATCGATATTTTCCTCGGCTTAATAGGGTTCTTTTTTCCTAATACTATCTAACACTCAATAACCTATTAAATCTTAGTGGCTTTATTGCCTTACTTGGGGTGAAATTATTAAAAATATTTCTATATTCCTTTTCTTATTTAAATACTTTTATAAGAAACATTTTAATGTATATATATATATATATATATATATATATATATATATATATATATATATATATATATATATATATATATATATATATATATATATATTCACTGTGTTTTTGCATAGCAGTATTTTTGAAAATTAGTAGTTTGTTTATCTTAGAAGCTCCAGAGATATATCATTTCCACATTTTTTGAAAAAGGTATTTTCAGCGTTCCATTGTGAAATGATTTAATTCCTTTCCTTCAAAATACACCATTCCCATTCTTAAATTCTATGATTTTCAGGTTTTAGTGAAACTATTTCCAAGTTACAACGGTCAAACGGGATTTTCAAATCGTAAACAATTAAAATATCATCATCATCATCATTATCAAAACTGTTTCGATTTGAGGTCATGAATTAAAATCTCTCTTATTCAGTGACATTGTATACTGATTCGACAAAATTTTGCCAGCCTTCTCTGTCTTCTGCTAGTTTGAGGATTAGTTGCAGAGCTTCCTTGATTGAAAAATTCTCCAAAGAAAAAGTGGGATCATTTTGCCTTATTCTTTGAATGTCTCGGTTCAACGAAAAAATGTACTGCTTCTGGGATTTGATTTTGAGATTAATTCCTTCTATTCGTATTTTCTTTTTCTTAAAACAGTGAACTGTTTTACAGTCACACGGTCTGATACGTTCCTATATCGATATACATTATCCCTCCATTTAATCTTGACAAAAAATCCTTTTCCATAATGTTTCCCTTCTGTCTCTAAACATATCACCTGGTATTTGTTTTTGTCGATGTTACTGTTCAGACCTGGTTCAATTTTTGTCTCTTGTAAGCAACACACGTCCACTTTGTACTTTTCTATGTCAATCGCTAACTCTTCTTGTTTCTCGCTCCGGGTCAAGCCCCGTACATTGAAAGTTCCAAGTGACGTTGGTAGTCCAATGCCATTTTCCGAATATTGTCTTTCTCAGTATGCAACGTCTTAAATAAGTAGTTACTGTGTAGCAGTAACTGGAGAATGCCATTACCTACTCCGCTCTGTAGTAAATTATTTGGAACGAAAAATGAGTTAGGAATAAGTTAAGATTATTTATATAGTGTATTTAGACATGTTGCTGCCGATGCAATATTCTCTGAGAGTGAGGGGAATGGGAAATTCCAAGAGGAAATAATGAAGAGAAGGATAGGGGAGATATCAAGGCATCTAGAGATGTCGATTACATTGGAATAGTTGGAGATTATAGTTATCAGGGAAACAGGAAAAGGGGGGGGGAGTTCCAAAGGTGAGAAGTGGGAGGCATGAAGATATTGAAGTAGAAGAGACGGCTACATTTAAAAGTTTCCACAGTGAAAGGGTGTGAGCGAGATGCCAGCCTAGTACAACGCTTAAATTCATGAAGTCTGGGAACCAGCGAAAGCAGCTCATCGGAGCAGTTAACGTGAAAGTATTTGTCAAAAAGACAGAGGGAGGCGACGGCTTGTCCGTGAGAGAGCGACTGCAGACGAGATACCAGATCAGGGCCAATTACATTGCATATCTATCCCTGTATTTTATCAAGAACCTTAAGACAAACTGAAGGGGCTCCAGACAATATATGGCAGCAATAGCCTCCATGCAAGGCGAATGGTTGATTTGTAGATTTGAAGGATCGATTCCGGGGAGAAAAATTTCCTGGCGCGGCACATGGAGCCAACTTTCCTTGCGGTGGACGAAGCTATTGACTCAATGCATTTGTTCCATCTCAGGTCAGCAGTCATTGTGAAACCGACCAGTCACAAAGAGGTGCTATCGTGGAATTGAGTGTCAGACATTCTAATGGGGGCAGGGATGGTTCTCTCTGGTGAGTAATAGAGAGCAGTTTTCTTTTTGAGGCATTAAAGTTAACCAGCCAATTCCTGCCCCAGATGGGACAAATAGTGAAATCGCAAACGAAAACAAAACACAATGAAATCATAAAAATACATTTCTATGGTAAAATTACCAGTAATACGTAAAATATTGTAAAATGACCTCCAATACCAATTTATAGTAAAATGACCAACAATACCAATTATAGAAATGATCATCAAAAAATTTTATGTAATTACCAACAATAATTACAAAGGATGTAGCAAATTGACTAACAATATATTTTATAACTATATGACCAACAACACATTTTATCTCTAATTGAAGGCTTACAATTACGTTTCAAATATATTTTGTGGAAGTTTTAAAATTGTGTTCAAATATTTAGATTTCGGAATTTAATGACCCATAGAGGTTGATATGCCACTAAACAAAATCAACCAAACAACTAACCTGAAAAACTTTTTCAAGACATTAATCCATATAATATCCTACAATTTCTTAAAGAAATGAAACTGTATTCCAAAATATACTGTTGGGGCGCACCCACCTTCTAACTAGTAATGGACTGGTCCCTCTTATATAAGTCAGCTCTGGGGAGAGAGAGGGCGTGAGCAGCCCAGATACTTTCTGAG